AAAAAATGGTTCCCCTCCACTCTTCTATGCTCTTGGGCTGAACTATGAATTAAATTGACGTCAGATTAACACGAGAAAAACCATACATAATTATGTGTGTAAGGAAAGGAGTCCCATAAAATATAAGAGCTGAGGAAAGGCAGATGGTTGAAGCTTACATAGTACTCTGAGCTACAAAGAGAAATAGGAGATTTGGGCTTCTGAGGGATGGTAGGAATGCAAGTTACCTGAAGGGTGAAGAAAAAATGTACAGTGGATAAAAGTGGTCCTGTAATACAGATACAAATTCTCTTGGGTAATAAAAGTTATGTCTGCTGGGGATTTAGCACAGTGGTTTCACCTGCTGCTGCGCAAGTGCAAGGACCCGAGTTCGATCCCCTGTACCCGCCCCCACCCCCAAATGCTATCTTTGGGGCCGGGGATTTAGCTCAGTGGTTCCAGCGCCTGCCTCACAAGCTCAAGGTCCCGAGTTCGATCCCCGGTACCAAAAAAAAAAAAAAAAAAAGTTGTGTCAGAGGAACCCTTAAAGACCAGGTGGTAGTCTGAGGGTGCCAACCTCTGGCTTCCTTTCTGGTTGATTAGGTTTCCAGGGTGGAGGGGATTCAGGGCAACTGAGTTCCTTTTGGAGGATCATCTTCACCCAGATAAAAGAAGCTCAGAGAAGCCTCTGCCCATGCCCACTGTATCTCAAATGGCCTCAATTTGAACTAAATAGCACACCAAACAACATATTTTGAGATGGCATTTCCGAAACTCCTTCAGCAATTTTAAATTAACAGCAAAAGTGGGAAGATAGAGATCCATCCCATATATTTATATATCTTTCCCATTATCAATATCTCCCACCAAAGTGATACATTTGTTACAAATGATAAACCCATACTGGCCTATCATTATTAATCAAAGTCCTACATTAGGGCTCATTCTCAGTGTTTTACATTCAAAGGGTTGGACAAATATATAACAACATGTACCTGTTACTATAGTAATATACAGAACATTTCCACTGCCCTAAAAGTCCTCTGTACCCTATGAACTATGTATGTGTGACAGTAGAGAGTGTATGGAATATTTCTTTATGTTCCTCTCAATTTTTCTGTGAAACTAAAACTCCTTTAAAAAGATTAGTCTTTAAAAAACAACCTGTGTTTTGCCTGTTCATCTCTATCTTAGCCCAACCTCTGGCAGTCACTGATCTTATTACTGTCACCATGATTTTGCTTTTTCCACAATGTCATATACTTGGGATCATACAGTAGGTAGATTTTGCATATAGACTTCTTTCATTTAGTAATCTGCATGTAAGTTTCCCTGTCTTTTTATGACTTGATAGGTAATTTAATTTTAGCTCTGAAAAATATGAAATTGTTTAGATGTGTCACAGATTATACATTTCCCCTATTAACGAACAGCATGGTCCCTTTCAATTTTTGGTAATTATGAACAGAACTTCTATAAACATCCATGTGCAAGTGTGTGTGTGTGTGCCTGCACCTGTGCACGTTTTTATCTCCTTTCAATAAATACCAAGGAGTATGATTACTGACTGTATGGTAAGAGTATGTTTATATTTAATTTTATAAGAAACCACTATAGTGTCGTTCAAACTGGCTGTACAATTTTGAAACCTCAAGAGCAATGAATGAGAGTTCCAGTGGCTCCACATCCTCACCAGCACTTGATGTTGTTGGTGCTCTGGATTTTGGCCATACTAATACATGTGCAGTGATGTCTCATGTTTTGCCTTTTGCTGATGACATATGGTATGGGGCATCTTTTTATAGGGTTATCTGTTAATTGTGTATCTTCTTTGGTCAGATGTCTGTTAAGGTCTTTGGCCCATTTTAAAATTGGGTTGTTTTGTTATTATTTAGAGTTCTTTGTATATTTTGAATAATAGTCCTGTGTCGATGCCTTTTACAATAATTTTCTCCCAGTCTGTCTTGTCTTTCATTTTCTTGACAGTATCTTTCAGAAAACAAAATTTTTAAAACTTTAATTTAAAGTTAAATTAAAATTATCAATTCTTTCTTTCATGGAGCATATCTTTGGTGATGCATCTAGAAAAGCCATTGCCAAACTGAAGCCCATCTGTATTGCTTTGTTCCTTTGCCAAAAGTCAGTTGGTAGAGTATTTGCTAGCATACACGAAGCCCTGAGTTCAATCTCTAGCACTGCAAAAAAAAAATCAGGTAGCTATATTTCGGAGTTTTTCTATTTCTGAGTTGTCTATTCTGTTCTATTATATTTATTTTTTTACTCCTACTATATGGTCTTGATTACTGCAACTTTCATGTGTCTTGAAGTTGCGTAGTGTCAGGGCACCTTCAGTATTACATTGTCATTCTCCTTCAACATTTAGTTGGCTGTTCCAGGAATTTTGTGTCTCCACATAGACTTTATATTTTATTTTATTCTTTTGGTACCAGGGATCGAACTTGGGATCTTGCGCTTGTGAGGTAGGCAGTGGCACTGCTGAGCTAGATCCCCGGCCCTCCACATAGACTTTAGATTCAGTTTTTCAATATCCATACATTAACTTGCTAGGATTTTGATTGGGTTTGCTTTGAATTTATAAATCAGAATGGGAAGAATTGTATCTTGACAATATTCAGCCTTCTTATCTATGAACTTGGACTCTTTCTCCATTTATTTAGTTCTTTAGTTTCTTTCATCAGAGCTTGTATTTTTCCTCATATAGATCTTGTACATTTTTTTCTCAAAACACTAATTCCTCTTCTCTTTTCATTGGCTTAAGCTACATACAAAACAAAAAATCTGGAAATCTCCACACTAAGTGAATTGTGCTCACAAATGAGGACGCAGAGGAGAGAAAAACATTGTCCTTAAATCAGAGCCTCCCAGCTTCACTCCTCATATCTCAGTTTTGATCTACAAATGACAGCAGTTTGGTGGCATCTTCAAATAACTTTTTCTATGACATTAATACCATTAAAAATAGCACATCCCAATTATAAATAAACTTGATCTGTAAATCAAGTTGAAAATGTGTGTTAGGCAGGGAGGGAGATAATGTTCCAGGAAAACTTTTTCAATGGAAGGAAGATGATCTCAGGCACAACCCTGGGCACAGTTGTTTTGAACTCAGTCTTTGGGCATTTAAATACTTCAGCAGAAGTTTGATATTAATAATTAATTAGGTTACTAGAGTAATTGATAAAATAAAGATAACAAGTACATAATATTTAATGATCTTTCAGTTTGTATCAGGCATTCTGATAGCAGTTGCAATACCATCTTAAATTCTTGCAAAAACCCAGAGTTTTCTTATCAACACAGCTACAAATCCTGCAGGGTGTATGGAGCAGCTGAGGACTTGGGAAGGCAAAGGGGAGTAGAGAGATTGAGGAAAAAGAAAGATTACAATTCAAAGTACCATTAAATTTGAGGAGCTTAATATTTTTTCCCTTGCTGGTGCCCCCACCCTGAACTTAAATCCAGTCTTGAAGTGGGGAGTGGGTATTGGCAGGGACAGAGAGCGCTCCGAGAGAAACCATCTGGATCTGGCTGAGTTCCAGAAAAGAAAACTCCTAAAACTCAGAATATGGACGTCTCCCTCTCTTTTCCCCTCATTTCTCCATTTCCTTGCACCCTCCAATCTCATTGCAGCAATATTAGAGGCTCTAATTCAACAGGAGCCAAAGCTAAGGCAGAAAGGATTCTTCCTTTCTAGTCTAAAGCTTTTAACATAGGCCAGAGGATCAAAAAAGAAAACCTAAGAACCAGAAGTCTCTGGGAAATTATAGAGAGAAAACAGCCACAGGAAATGGACCCTATAAAGCTGTGTGTGAACTACTGGGCCCACCTGCTAGGTGTGTATGTGTAGACCTGACCCTAATAGGCCTACCAAAGACTTTGACAACTGATTCCAGGTTGCAAACTAAGTGTGGACTGGTGCACATGGATGAGTAAGCAGACAAGACCCTAAGGAGTGGCAGAAGTTTGCCAACCATAGAGCCTTTCTGCATCATCGTGGTGGTAGTGCACAGATCCACACAGGTCTTAAAATTCATAACACTGTATGCCAAAAGGGTATTTGAACTATTTCTATATAACAATTTTAAAAATAAAACAACAAAAAATCAGAACAAGAGAGTAGTCTGTCATAGTCCTTGTATATTTATATATACATCAGAAGTGATTCCAACTAACTTATACAGAAAAAGGTCTGATTTGAAGACTATTGAAGATCTGACAAGAAGGCCAAAGAACTAGGCCTAGAAGATGACGCTGCAGAAATGCTGTGGCTAGGATCCCTCCCTGGCCTTTCCAACATTCAGATCCACCACAGCCACAGAAGTGCTCCATGCTGGTGGGCAGCAAAGGTATGTGTCAGCTTCCATACTGATTCCCAGGATGGTCAGGGGGGCAACAGTTATTAACCATGTGGGTGTTCAGTTGACAGTTAAAAAAATTAACAAAATACTTTTAACCCCTCCTACAGAAGAAAAAACTGGGGTATATAAAATATTTATCCTGTTCCTGAGTTCACACAACTTCACCAGGACTCAAAGCTTGTGCTCCTGACTACCACAGAATGGCTGGAAATGTCTCTGGCCTCAAAAGAGCTTTGGAGGAACCTCATGTCTGTCTGAAAACAAAGAAGAGAAGTAATTTGAAGCGGAGACTCCAACTTCTGCCTGGCTCTGCAATTCAAAAGAATGCTAACCCAACTGTTTTGTTTTGTTTTTTTCCCTAACAGCTTGACTTGGTTTTGTCTTTGAAATATAAACACTGAATCTTTAAAAAGTTTATGCTGCCTCTGATATGTTCCCTAGAGAAGTAGTATTCCCAATTTTTAAATCACATACTATCAACACATATTTGAATATGGTTCCTAATAGATGCAAGTTTATTTGTAAATTATATATGCTACAATACTTATATACATTGTGTGCATTCTAAGTAACATCTAAAAATAAAAAAAGATAAAATATTTTTAATAACATGTATTAAGACAGTACAAAATCACTGTTTATTTCATTAAGAAATTGTAAATGTAAGTTACTGAATATGGTTCAAATATCTGGACCTAAATTCAGCTCATTTTTATACTTGATTTTAATGGCCGCTAAAATTAGAAGTTCACAGATATGTAAACCCACATGAAGTTTATCACTAGCTATGCTTATTAAACAACAGTTCCTAGTTTTAACAACCCTAACTACTAATTATACACTAAGGATTTTTGGAGTATGAGTACAGAAGAGAGAATTTAGCTAGTATATTTCCATTTTTACTACTGTTAGGCAAACAACTAGCAGATGTTAGATTTTTGTATTTTAGCACACAACTTCAAAGTTCATTGACTTTCAGCTAGAGGAAAAAAATGTCTTTTTGGGTTTTTTGTTTGTTTGGGCTTGTTGTTGTTTTGTGGTTTTTTTCTTTTTGGAACAGGGTCTCCCTATGTGGTCCAGGCAAGCCTTGAACTTACTACGTAGCTCAGGCTGGCTGTAAACTCACAGTGATCCTCCTGCCTCAGCCTTCTGAGTACTGGGGTTACAGGTGTTTACCATTGCCCAGTCCAGCTAGAAAAATTTAAATAGGATAGGAAACTATCATTCCTGCTTTTTAATTGTTGTGTAGTTGGGAGAATTTGTGTTAACCTGGTATTAAGTGCAACAATGAAATCTTAAAATGATGGAAATGCTTCCACAAATGCTCCTTTGCAAATTTTTCTCTCTATAGCACATATTTCTTTTAGAAACTGGCTCCTGTTTTACTCGCTACTAAACTTCACCTTTACCTTAAAAGAACAGATCAAGAAGTTTTTTTAAAAGAATTCTCAAGGGGAACTCCTCCCTCATGGCAGGGCCGGTGGGAAGTGAGGTTCTAGGAGGAACCGCCAGAAGTATACGGCGACTTTGAACCCCAGATGGCCAAAGAAAGGTCTCTGGTGGGAAGACAAACGCCAGCAGAAGAGTTTCAGCGGGATTCGGAGGAGAGAGGAAGATGGTCTCCTGGGGCGACCTGGGCAGAACTGGGAAACGTTGCCCATCCCTGGGCACAAATTTAGGGAAGTCTAAGTCTCCTCTTTCTGCAGGCTTTCAGGAGGTGCCGGCGGGTTAGGCGGAGTAGGAATGAAGATTGACTGCAGCTTCGGTTTCATTTCTGTTCCTCTGCAGATGTTACTCTATCGAACCCACCTCCTTTCCCTCGTTAGTTCTCAGAAGCCAGAAGCCCCCAGAGGTGTATAAAATGTGGAAAGGCAGGATGGTGTGAAGAAGCCATTCCAAGTTGGAGAAGAACTGAGAACCAAGGCAAGGCCATTGGAATGAGCCCAGAATTGATATATTATAGAGACTGACACATCTGTCATGCATGCTTTGGTAGCTCTTGCTCGTTATTAAAATATTATATCTTATACATTTTCTTTATTTCATATTTTTTGTCCTCACATCCTACATTTTTCTTCTTCTTAGATGCAATACTAAATACTAAATCCAAATCCAAGAGAACAAAATACAATTATTGATGACTTAATGCAAAAAAAATTAAAAAAAAAGAATTCTCAAGGGAGCATATTATCTGTAACTGTATGACATCACAGAAAAAACCAGCAAATTTGGTACATTTAGTCTTTCTTGAAACAAAAAAAACACACTTCATCTTTCTCTTTCAGTGGCACTTTGCCTCCAGCTTTGGTGGACTAGGTAGTCTCAGAAGTATTTTCCTATTTAAAATTGCTATAAAAGTTAGGACAAAACAAATGTTTCTAAATCTGCTTGAAGGCATTAGAAAGTTATGACGGTGGTGAGGAATCATGGACCAGGCACCTCCAGGGCAGAGAAGCCCAGGGAGGCAAGCAGGGCAGATAGAGCTGCTCTTCCCTTCTAGGCTACTGGCAGTGTGCAGAGCAATGGCAGACTAGCTGGGATGAAGCCGAGTCACTGGTAGGAAGGAAGTTGCATGCACTTGAAGCTGTGATGCTGAGGGAAGGAAATCAGACATGGAAGGTTAACTATCATACGGTTTCTCTTTTATGAGAAACCCAAAGTATATCATTTAAAGAGCAAAAGAAAAGGCAGATGATAGGGCACAGGGAGACAGACTTTGTGAAGACAGGAAAGAGATCTGGAGATTCGAGGGAGACAGGACAGAGGCGAGATGAAGGGGAAGTAAAACGGATGAAGAAGCAATAGTGTAGGTACCAATATCCCACAATGGAAGTTATTATGTATCACAAACATCTACTAATAAATACCACTTGGATTAAAAAAGACAATAAAAATAAAATAAACAAAAATGGCAGAAAGGCTGAGTTTTCAACAGACTCACTCGACTAGAGGAACAAAAATCTGAGGAGGAGCCTTGGTAAATATATCAGGAACTAAACTCTAGGAATAAAGTGAATTAGAGATTGATCATTCCTAAGAGCACTTGAGCTAGGTGTCAAATCATTTCAACTTCCATTTGAACTAAAGTAACCTGTAATTGCTATTACTACTCAGATACCTGCCTAAGCAGCAGTCTCTTTTCTTACGAGAAGACAGCATAATCCAGAGTTTGGGAATATTTCTACACTGTAAAGGTTTTAAAAAGAAATCATCAGGCATACAGAGGACACGATGAAATTGAACATCAAGAGAAAAAATACATAATAGATACAACTACACGAGGAATCTGGACAAAGAAGTTATTAGGTATAAATTTAAAATATATATGACTAATACCAGGTGTGATTGAAAAATATTATGAATGTTTAACTTAAAAAACTTATTACAGGGGCTGGGGATTTAACTCAGTGATTCTGCTGCCTGCCTCACAAGCACAAGGACCTGAGTTTGATCCCCGGTACCAAAAAAAAAAAATTATTACAGTGAAACACACATTGACATTGGTTCTCTCAAAACACTCCTCACTTTGAACACATTTATCCTGTCTTCCTGCCACTTTCTGAACCAGTGATGGAAGTGCTCTTTTATGAGAGTCTAGTTGGACTATTGTCGCTGCCTCCAAGTCCTGAATCGATTCAAAGCATTTACCTTTCTTTGTTATTTTGACATCGAGGAAGAGCCATAGATCCCACCCTGGCGGATCTGGCAAATAAGCTAATAGCACAGAGGGAGACAGATCTTTTGGAACTGGAAAAGGGACCAAGAGATGGAGGGAAGGGAGAGGCAGGAGAAGGAAAGTGGAAGGAAAAAGAATTAAAAGATGCGTTACGTACATGCACCAGCTCCCCATGGTGACTGTAATCACTATGTCCTGCAAATGTACTAATATTTTTTAAAAGGCCATTAAAAAAAGGTAGAGGAGAACACATCATAATGTTTTTATGAGGCTGCCTTTCTGTGGGATGGCGCTCAGCAGCAGTATTTACCATAGTTTTGATCACACCTCATAAAGACACTAAGGAAAGGGCCTTCAGAGTCTCTCTCCTATACCCAGGCAGATCTCAGGGTCCTTAGAGAGACATTGGCCCAGGGTTTCCCAGTGAACCCCACACAGGAAAGGATGTTGTAACGTTCCTTCCAGAACTCTTTAAGGGTTAAATCTGTATCTGAGACCATCTGGAAGCACAAGTGGCCTGCATTCAGGTCATAATTCAAGTCTTTGATTCTAAGTTAAAACTAAAATTCCAGTTGTAATGCAAGTTGTTCATATGTCAGGTCAGTCAAAACTTGAGGGTCCACTACACCTGTAATCTCAGCACTCAGGAGGTTGAGGCAGGAGGATCAATGTGCGTTCAAGGCCAGTCTGAACTACATAGGGAGACCACATCTCAACCCCCTCCCCAGAAACCAAACCAAAAAAACCAAAAAACAAGCCTCCCCCAAAAACCCCTTAGAGTGGAGACTAAAGTATGAAGATATTTTTTTAAAAAGGAAACATATAGTATGGTAATACTGAAAAATAATCTATAATTAGAGTACAAGGGGAAAGAAGAGAGACAGTTGAGACTGAAGTACATCTAATAGACAGTGACTGAGATTTTTCTGTACCTGATGACAGATGTGCAGCTCTACTGTCAAATACCACAGCACAGGTAAGCAGCAAGCTTCTGTGAGGTACAAAAGGTCTTATACAAAATTCACTTCATTGATGACATCCGTGGCTCGCTGTAAATTCCTGGCTTCACCCATTTTGAGGACAATGGCTTACCTACGTGTCATGTGGAGAATGAGCTTTATATATGGCATTCAATTTGTGATTCTAGAATCTTCATGTGGGTTGGAGCAGGCTCTTTTTCCAGTGGTTACACAGATACAAACGTCTGACACACCTTGCTGTGAGCTAACTTTCCATTGACTGTTGACGTTATATATTCTAATGGAGTTTCACATAGAGACTCACACTAAAAAGTGGGTTTTTCCATATTTCATTATTAAAACATTCTAAGAAATACAATATACTCTGATCTATTAGGACCACTTTATTCTTATCTCTGCCTCAAGGGTCAGCAGACTTCTCTGTCAAAACCCAAGCAGCAAATATCTGGGCCCCTGGGGCTGCAGATGTGTCAAGGGCCCAACCTGGCCCTCATAGCCCCCAAGCCCCGCACAGAAGCAGACCTGTGCCGTCTGGCCCCAGCAACACTGCATTTAAGGAACTAAGCCAAGGGCTATTCCCACAAGTGGGACCCCGCTGATTGTACCGGATAGCAAACTTTTCACTCTATATAATGTTCTTTCATTCTTTTGTCTTCATGTGTTAACCCATGATTTCTACGTCCCTCAGCAGTATGTACCTCCTAACATCAGAGTGCAACACACGTTGCTATGTTAGTTTCGATCCACCATTTCAGTCATTTTAACACAGCAAGTGCTTCCCAGGGATGAGTTTTACAAAATCCTTTATGAATAGCAAATAAGAGTCTTCTAAGCATTTATTTATTGAGTTTAAAGCAAGTGTATATGGTATAGAATTGAAATTACAGTATATAAATTTAAACATTTCTACAAAAACTGTAAAAGTGTATCTTCACATTTTGATTATCAGTTTTTTTTAATCTGCCTAATCATAATGGTTAATATTTTAAATAACAATGCAGGGACAATATCATTATGGAGGATAAGGGATAGAAATTTATATGTGAAGTGGTCTTTTTGACAGTCTTCAATTCTTCGGGCTGAATTTGAGGCATCATTGTTTGAATCTCACTTGGCTATCAAGAAGCTATACTGTCCTAACATTTCCTGATGTTAACATGCTAGAATGAAGTCTGAGGGGCTTGGAAGGAAACATGGGTGTCAGAATGAACTCATGTTTTTAAATAGATACACAGATGGATAGATGGATAAATATACACACATATGGATGATAGGTAGACAGATGAAAAATGTGTGAACACGTGTATGTATGTATACATATATTCCTGTATCTGTGTACTGAGAAGGCATGGGAGCAGCAACACTTGCTAACAGGGATGCACCTAAGTGCCCAGATCTTGATTTCTGAATGCCATCTTCCAAGGGCGCTCACTGGAGAAATCCCTAGGTCAGGACTGGGAAGGGAACGTTTGAAATGAACCTGAAACATCCATGGTCTCAGAAACTAAAGATATATGACAGAAGCTGTTGGAGGGCACCAAATTTGGCACAAGACAATGTCAAATAAATAATGATACTAAGCTATAATCTTTTGAAAAACCATGAGTCCAAACTTATATAATGAAATCAATAATAAACTAATGTGAAAAGGGGAAAGCTTCACCTTATAGTACAGTGACAGTCAAATGTAGAAACAGACATTAAAATGAGTTAGAAAAGGTGTAAGGGCTTCAATGAATGAATAAATAAAAGTACAGCAACAATAACACAAAGACAATCCTGAAGGAGCTAAACTGTGAGTTTCTACTGACCGAAGGGGACCATCTGAACACTGATAAAGATAACATCTTTCGTGAATTGAACAACGTCAAATATATTATTTAAATCCATGACTTTATGGATTCTCATAGCCCTTCCAAACTCATTGGTTGCTTTTTTTCTTTTTTTTTTTTGGTACCTAGGGCCCTTGCACTGAGCTGAACCCCCAGTCCTTGTTTTATTTTGAGACAGGATCTTGCTAAGTTGCCCGGGCTGGGCTCCAATTTGCAATTCTCCTGCCTCAGCCTCCCAGAGTGGTGGGATTACAGGTGTGCACCACCACACTTGGCCTATCCTGATTTTCTTGTATGACTTAAAATGGGGAAACCAAACAGCTGCTGAGGGAATTTTCCCTTTATTATAGACATCTAAGTTAGGTAGAAATATTACAGGCAGTCAGACAGGGCTAGGGCATTGAAAGAGTCACTGCACAGGGTGAGAACACATTACAACTGTGGTTGGAGGCGCATCTGTTGAAGGCCAGGGCTCAAGATAAAGATGGAATGACTAGGACTATGTGCCTCCCTGAGGGATAGGCAATAAACCAAAGATTATACTATAATTGGTATCACCTGCTCCAATGAAGTCTAGACAGACATCAGTCACCCAGGTGGGTGACCAGGACCTCCTGATCCATCCCTTTCTAAAAAGGTCCTTGTTCTTTCCATGCACACTTGCTATGTGACCCACTTCCCCACTGGATCAATATTACTTAAGCAGCTATATTTGTAATCTTATTGATTATAGTTCTGGCCAACATTGTACCCACCTTGTGATTTTGCTCTATAAAACTTTCCCAAAGAAGTACTCTGTGGGAACCCACTTTCAGGTCCTCTCCTATATCTCAGGAGCTATCTCTTTGGATAAAGATTTCCTACACTTAACCTCCGCTGTTCCTTAGAATTTATTCTTCAGTTTTGGGCAACACAAACTTGGCTTATTTGACATCTAGCAGGTTGGGAGGTGCACCCCCACCCATATCATCTTTACAGAAGCCCCCAGGCCATTCTATCCACTTTGTATAGGCCTGAAATTTTCTACAAGAGAACATTTTTTAAACACTGGCATGTGGTTTTAGTTAAACACAAGGCCAGCACATACAGAACTCCCAAGGCACCAACCAGGCAGAGAGGACACATGGAGGCAGGTACCTAGCCAGGCTTCTCTTGCCAAGCCATTTGCTTCGCTGGGTAGTAGTCAGCAGGAAGAAGGGACGCGTCCTTCCAAATGATCCACGGAGAGTGGTTACCAAGGGAAGCATTCTTCAGAATTTTTGCATTAGGTGATCTGCCGGTCTCTGTAGGAGTGGCATCCGAAAGCCCACTCCCTGAGAACGACCTTTTCCTGGCATGGAGAGCTGCACTGGGGCCAGCTGAGTGGAGCAGACACCAGGAGCACCAGCAGCTGGGTGAAAGCTGGAGAGGAAGAACAGCACCAGCCAGTTCCTCCTGGAGCAGCAACACAGTGACAGGAAGAGGAAGTTCTGCCAGCATGAAGCACGGCCACTAGGAGGTGCCTTAGACTCACTGTGTCCTCTTGGGGGAGTGAAAAGAGCCACCGGGTTCCAGTAAGTGCTTTGGCCAAGCTCTCAGTGTCTCCCTCCTTCTTGTTCCTGAGGTGTAAGTAGCCTTAGGGAAAATACACTGGCCTCCCACGTGCCCACACACCGTCCTGCACAAGGCATAAGTCTCCATTCCCCAGGATGTTTACTAATATCCTGCAAGTGGCCATTCATGGATTCTACCTAGCTGTGTGAACCTGGGAATTCCCAGCCCAAATCCATGCTCATTAGGCAAATATATATTAGGAACCTGGTTTCCAATAGGTGTATTTCAAAATGGTGATTGATTTTGCCTTAGATCACTATTATTTCAGAATGGCCAAAACAAAAAACTACAAAAAAACCCTGTATTTCTATTGCTGCTAAGATGCTGGTGTCTGGCAGGTGGGCAGCTGTGGGAGAGAGCCCCCCCACCCCGAGTTAAACTCAAACACAGCCCCCAGCCCCCCACCCCCACCCCATTCCCACGAGGCCTGTGTGAAGACTGAGAAGGAAAAGCCTGTTCTCAGACTGGCTGCCTAGGGAGCCTGACTTCTGGGTTTCCTCCCTGGTGACTTCCCGACTTGGCTTCTGTAAGAAGCAGATCTGCTTTTGTCCCAGAGGAGGCCAAATGTCACAATAGAGAAAATGGCTGCTAGCAACAAGAAGACCCTCATGAGAGAGCAGGGGAAGGCTGGGCCAAAGATCCTGAACAGATCATTTCACTGGACTAGAGAGAGAAGAGGGAAGGTTTGGTTTTGTTTTTCTAAAGCTGACTCATTTACCTAGGAAGCTTCTCATCTCCATGCCTCTGCAAGCCTTCCTGGATTCCACCTCCACCCCTGGGACCACCCCTTACTGCTAGTTCTGGAAGTCAGTGAGTGATAGGTCAGAGGGGCATGCAGCCCGTGGTGTCACCCAGCCACATGACGTTCATAAACAGCCACAGTCATCTCTTCTCCAAAAATGGCTAAAACTGCTTTTAAAGACATCGGGAAAAATGCTTAGCTCTTTCACAGCTAGTGTGAAAGAGTCCCTTGTCCTCCCTCCCAGTCCTCCTATCCCCAGCCTTCCTCTTCCTTTTCTCAATTTGACCTCCCAGCATGTTTATTGTTTATACTTTGCCTTTTTTTCCCAATGCACATTCCCTTCCATGGGGTCATATAACAGCTGTTCATGTAGAAGTCTCCTAGTAGTTTTGGAAACTTCCTTCAGCTCAAAAACAACTTAAAAGCCAAAAACATTCCTGCTTAATCCTCATCCTGTTCACTTTAGAAGAAATCAAATTAAAAGTCATAGAATACTAAGGCTGAGAAAGAACTACCCCTAAAAGAAGTACCCTTGTGTTAAAAGTTTAAGTACCTGAGAACAAAAAGAGTGCCATTAAGTAGACCAATGCCTGATAAATCTTAGTTCATAAAATCCGATATACATTTTGGGGGCATCTACTATAATTCAGAGACTGAGCTAGGTAATGATACAAAGATGAATAAGGTTGTGCTATGAGTGATTTAAAAAGTACAGTGAGAAACACTGGGAAATTCTCACCGCCGATAGACTAAACTGAATTCAGAACAAGCTCCAGTCTTCTAGTTATACATGTCGCTGTTTCAGATAGAGAGTCACAGGAGAACAGCCTTCCTAGAACAATGCAGAGGACTCAGAAAAATTGTATCTTAAAATAGAGTTGAGTCTCACACTCTTGGCTTGGACAAAGGGATACATCTTGATGTCATGTATTTCGGGGAGAAGGA